ATCAATAGCTCCTCTTGGGGAAGCCCATGGTGTCAAAGCCAGCGATGATGGGGAACATCACCCAGGTTGATGATCCTGCACAGCAGGATAGTGTTGATGGCCCGCACCAGCTGTAGAAGGAGACCAACATAACCACAGAGGTTGCAGGGCCCTCGAGAGGCTCACGAGTCTACACCCCACTCTTCACACACCATGGGTAACCCGCTACCTACTCCATCCCTTGTCAGGGCTTTGTGAAGGTGGGACTGAAAAACCTCCTGGGGATGGAGCTTCCACCACCAGCCCTTTTCCCTAGGGAACCCCATTCCAGAAGTTCTACCCCCTCCTTGGATAATAGCCCAAGGGCACGATATCTGCATGAGCATAGCCCTGACAGTTGATCTCCCAAGGCCAAACTGGTTCCTGACAGATCGGTAGCTGTCCGTTGTGGTGAGCTTCCAGATGGTAATGGCGACTAGATTCTGGAGGGGGATGGTGGGTCATATGAGTGTGTCCCATCACCTGAGAGCAGGGGTGATCCACTCACACAGCTCCAGGAAGGTGTCCTCCTGCATGTGGCAATTCTGGAGCCACTGCTGGTTGTCCCACTACTGCAAAATGATCTTGGCCCACCAGTCGGAACAGACGTCCAGACACCAGAAGCGTCGGTGCACAGTGTTCAGGGGAGAGCAGGTGGGCCTGTACTGCATTAGCAGTGTCCTCAGAGAGATAAGAAAGTTCCCTGACATGATCTGGGTGTTGTGTTCTTGCAGGGCCTTGAAGGCAGCCTGCAGAAAGTGCTACAGGAGGTGTAGCACAACCTGTAAAAGCTGCTCCAATTGCTTGGAGGCAGCTCCAGCTCCATGTCGAGAGAGCTAGGTGTCCGTAAGGGCAACCAGAGCAGGCAGAGAAAAGTCTTTGCTGTCCCTCCAGGAGGTAGGCAAAGGTGAAGAACCCAAGACACCTGAGCTGTACAAAGGGTCCTTTAAGCTCGAACCTCAGCTAGCCTCAGGTGGCAGCTCCCAGAAGAAACTGCATCCTGATGCCTTGTCTGAAGTGCTTCTGTGTAGCCTTAAAGGCAATTCACCATCCAATGAGTGTGGATGCTGTATTTCAAAATAGCAAAGCACTATTGTGATGAGCATTTGGTGTGTAGCTATATTGGAGAATAGCTTATTCTGAAATAATTGTGCAGTGTATATGTACCCATTGTCCCATGTCATTCTCAGCTTCAGGACAATTATGCTATTATCCTCAAAGCCACCATTTCCAGACATAACCATTGATTTTAGATGTCTCTATGTTTGACCCTCAGTAGAAATTATGGATGCTCAGCACCTCTGAAAAAAATTGAGCTCAGTGTCCCAAAGTTATGAACTCAAAATCAGCAGCCACTTCAGTGCCCTTTCGCTTTAGTCTCATGCTAATTTCATACAGATACACTATCATCATCATCCTCTTCCAATCCCAACATTCATTGCATGTAAAAGTACAGTACAGTACAAATTATTTCAGACTGATTAGGATGAATTATATTTATAATTTAATAATATGTAGAATAATTTACATTAAGTAATCCCATTAATAATTTAAATTTCATAAATATCCTATTAATAAATCTAGTCTAAGACTCCCTGTTACTTGCAGTGGCCTCATACTTGCCCTAAGTTGCTGCTGGCCCACTAGTCTGCATTGATTTATTACTCTTCTCTTTTCTTTTCTCTTTTCTCTTCTGAAAGAGCAGCTGGTGCGATAGCACATCCTCCTTGCAGAACCTTCCTTAATTGCAGAGTGGTTCTTGATTTTTATTTTCCTCCTGGGTTGTATCTTTAAATTAACACTTTCTAATTGGGAAGCATATAATTTTCCCAGCAGCTTAAGAAATAGAATGGGAAACAGCCCTCTAGAGGATTTTCATATGGATATGTTTTAGAACATAAGAACAGCCATAATGGGACAAACCAAAAGTCTGTCTACCCCAGTATCCTGTCTGCCAACAGTGGCCAATACCAGATGCCCCAGAGGGAGTGAACACAAATCATCATCTGATCCCTCTACTGTCATCCATTACCAGATAAACAGAGGCTAGTGGCCCCATTTCTACCATTAATGAACCTAACCTCCATGAATTTATCTAGCTCTTTTTTGAACCCTATTAAAGTCTTCATCTTCACAACATCCTCTGGCAAGACGTTCCACAGGTTGGCTGTGTGAAAAACTTCCTTTTGTTTGTTTTAAACCCGCTGCCTATTAATTTCATTTGGTGACCCCTAGTTCTTTATTGTAGGAATAAGTAAATAACTTTTCCTTATTCAATTTTTCCACACCAGTCATGATTTTATAGACCTCTATCATATCCCCCCTTAGTCTCTTCTAAGCTGAAAAGTCCAAGTCTTTTTAATCTCTCTTCATATGGGACCTGTTCTAAACCTCTAATCGTTTGTGTTGTCCTTTTCTGAATCTTTTCCAGGGCCAATATATCTTTTTGAGATGAGACAACCACATCTGTACACAATATTCAAGATGTGGGCATAGCATGGTTTTATATAGAGGCAATAAGATATTATCTGTCTTATTCTCTATACCTTTTTAAATGATTCCTAACATTGTTTGCTTTTTTGATTGCCGCTGAACACTCACTGGATGGTTTCAGATAATTATCCACAATGACTCTAAGATCTCTCTCTTGAATAGTTGTAGCTAAATTAGTCCCCATCATATTGTATGTATAGTTGGAATTATTTTTTCCAATGTGTATTACTTTACATTTATCAACATTAAATTTCATTTGCCATTTTGTTGCCCAGTCACTGAGTTTGGTGACATCATTTTGAAGCTTTTCACAGTCTGCTTTTGTCTTAACTATCTTGAGCAGTTTAGTATCATCCGCAAATTTTCCCACCTCACTGTTTACCCCAAGAAAGACCCTCAAGGGACACCACTAGTTATCTCTCTCCATTCTGAAAACTTACCATTTATTCCTGCCCCTTGTTTCCTGTCTTTTAACCCATTCTCAATCCATGAGAGGATTTTCCCTCTTTTCCCATGACAAGTTACTTTACTTAAGAACCTTTGGTGAGGGATCTTGTCAAAGGCTTTCTGGAAATCTAAGTATACTATATACATTGAATCCCCCTTGTTCATACGTTTGTTGACCCCCTCAAAGAACGCTAGTAGATTAGTAAGGCATGATTTCCCTTTACAGAAACAATGTTGACTTTCCCCCAGCAAATTATGTTAATCTATGTGTCTGATAATTTTCTTCTTTACTATAGTTTCAACTAATTTGCCCGGTACTGGCTTACAGGTCTGTAATTGCCAGGCTCACCTCTAGAGCCTCTTTTAAATATAAGTGTCACATTAGCTATCTTCCAGTCATTAGGTACAGAAGACCATTTAAAGGATAGGTTACAAAGCACAGTTAATAGTTCCTCAATTTCACATTTGAGTTCTTTCAGAACTCTTGGGTGAATGCCATATGGTCCCAGTGACTTGTTACTGTTAAGTTTATCAATTTGTTCAAAAACCTCCTCTAGTGACACCTCAATCTGGGACAATTCCTCAGTTTTGTCACCTAATATGAATGGCTCAGGTTTGGAAATCTCCCTAATATCCTCAGTCATGAAGACTGAAGCAAAGAATTCATTTAGTTTCTCTGAAAAGACATATCATCTTTGAGTGCTCCTTTAGCATCTCAGTCATTCAAGGGCCCCACTGGTTGTTTAGCTGGCTTCCTGATTCTGATGTACTTAAAAACATTTGGCTATTACTTTTTGAGTTTTTGGCAAGTTGTTCTTCAAACTCCTTTTTGACTTTATACACTTAATTTGACAGAGTTTGTTCCTTTCTATTTTCCTCGCTAGGATTTGACTTCTACTTTTTAAAAGATATCTTTTTCTCTCTCACTGCTTCTTTTACTTGGTTGTTAAGCCATGCTAGCACTTTTTTGGTTCTGTTACAGTGTTTTTTAATTGGGGTGTACATTTAAGTTGGGCCTCTATTATGGTGTCTTTGCAAAGTTTTCATGCAGCTTGCAGGGATTTTACTTTTGTCACTGTGCCTTTTAATTTCTGTTTAACTAACCTCCTCAGATTTGTGTAGTTCCTCTTTCTGAAAATAAATGCCTCAGTGTTGGTCTGCTGAGGTGTTTTTCCCACCCCAGGGATGTTAACATTTATTACATTGTGATCACTACTGCCCAGCAGTCCAGTTATATTTACCTCTTGGACAAGACCCTGCACTCCACTTCAGTCTAAATCAAGAATTGCCTCTTACTTTGTGGGTTCCAGAACCAGCTGCTCCAAGAAGCAGTCATTTAAGGTATCAAGAAATGTTATCGCTGCATCCTGTTCTGAGGTGACCAGTAGCCAGTCAATATGGGGATAGTTGAAATCCCCCACTATTATTGATAGCCTCTCTAATCTCCCTTAGCATTTCATAGTCACTATCGCTGTCCTGATCAGGTGGTCAATAATATATCCCTACTGCTATATTTTTATTTGTATTGTTAGAGCATGGAATTACTACCCATAGAGATTCTATAGAACATTTTCACTCATTTAAGATTTTAAACTTTATTTGATTCTATATTTTTTTTCAGGTCTAGTGCCACTCCCCCACCAACATGACCTGTTCTGTCCTTCTGATACATTTGTACCCTGGTATGACTGTGTCCCATTGATTGTCCTCATTCCACCAAATTTCTGTGATGCCTATTATATCAATATCCTCTAATTGAGGCACTCTAGTTCATCCATATTTAGACTTCTAGCGTTTGTGTATAAGCACTTTAAAAATTTGCCACTATTTATCTGTCTGCCATTTCCTGATGTGTTGGACTCTTTTTCATTTGATTGTGTCTTATGTGTCTAGACCCATATTTTTATCATCTTCCATCCTCTCCTCCTGACTAGAACATAGTCTATACTGTATTAGTCTTCCTGTATTTTGTCAGTATTGTATTAGTGTCCAGTGGAATACTTAATACACAGGTTCATTTGTTTGGTTTCACATCTGTATTTTTAATTTGTTTGCTTTACTATTATAGGGTCAGAGTGCTTGATTTCTTTTCCTACTGGAAAGTGGCTATTGGGCATCATATTAAGGTAGGGGCTTAAACCAGTATCGTAGACTGTAAGCACTACAGGGCAGAGATCTTTTGTTTTCTTTGTACATCCCTTAACCCAGTGAGATACTTGTCCATGAATGAGGGTTGTAAGCACCATTGCAATATCAATAGTAAGGTGGATTTCCAGCTCTGGATTAGCTTCCTTCCTTCTCTCCAGTTTACCTGTATCACAGTTGCTTTCTTTTCCATTATGCCTGAAAATGTAAGAAAAAAAGTGAAGAAACCCAGCAAGTTTGTTCAAAAATACCATATGTGTTTGCTTAGAATCCACCCTCAGCTGGCAAGCACATCTTTGGCATGCAAGACACAGGGTAAGTAATAAAAGTGAACAGAAGCCGCAGCTTGGAAATGGGCACAGGAGTGCTCTCCTGAGTGACATATAGCAAGATTTTCTTGCTCTCCTGCTGGGTCTAGGGAAAACAGACTGATTAAAAGTTCAGAATAACTGTCAATTAGTGCCCTGGCAGAGCTCGGCTTACACTATGATAGGCGAGGATGATAGTAAGCAGGTTGTGACCACTTTCCTAAGGTCTTCTAAGTGCTCTTTAGTGGAAGTCAAAGGGCATGTCCCTTTGGGCCTGATCCTGAAAGGTGCTGCTTGGCCCATTTAGAACAAAGAAAGCTCTCTGACAGGTATGTGATTCAAACTAGCCTGTCAGGAGCCAAAGCTGTGGTGTGAATCCAATCACAGATGCAAAGTAATAATGAGTTCCCTCAGGTGCATTTCCACATAGTTGGATGGAGAACCCCTTGTAGCAGGCTGGCAAAGTTTTGCAACAGTCACCTCACCCTGTTAGCAAGTATTGATCCCTGCTGGCAGAGTTAAGTGTAACTTTTGTCTAACTGAGACAGGCAGTTGTTTTCTAACTCGTCCATCAGCTAACGTGAAGCAAAGGTAGTACTAGAGTATCTAGGATGTGAACTAGAGTTTCTCTCTTAGGGTAACAAAATACAGGACTATGTAGCACTTTAAAGACTAACAAGACGGTTTATTAGATGATGAGCTTTCGTGGGACTTTAAAGACTAACAAGATGGTTTATTAGATTATGAGCTTTCGTGGGCCAGACCCACTTCCTCAGATCAACTAAAATGGTGACTATTTTCTTCCACTATTTGATCTGAGAAAGTGGGTCTGGCCCACGAAAGCTCATCATCTAATAAACCGTCTTGTTAGTCTTTAAAGTGCTACATAGTCCTGTATTTTGTTTCAGCTACACCAGACTAACACAGCTACATTTCTATCACTTCTCTTAGGGTAGTTTTGGGAGTGGCCAAGCATGGGGAGAAGGTTTGAGAATAATTTAAGTACTGTCTTACTGTTAATCCATAAGGCTGGCTGAAAAAAGGAATTTCTGTCCCACAGGAAATTAAGATTTCAGAGTGTGGTTTAGTAGTAAATCAGAACAAAGTCCAAAAGTCTTACTTTTTTTGTAAAATAAAATATCCTAAAGGAGAATTCTGACTTTTTTTATGTCAAATCAAAATGGTTCAATAATTTCACATCTGTGAGTTCTTGCAAAACATTTCACATTCACTGAATCAGTGTTTTCCAGTGGAAAAATTGTTTCATTAGCACGTTTTTCAGCAGATCACCTTTTCCCTTTTGTTAATAAAGCTGAACTTCAAGAAGGGTTGGGGTGTTCACTCGAAGTAGCCCAGGGACTGTTTTTAGATGGTCAGGAAAGGCGACTGCCCCCCTGCCTTTAGCACAAACAAGTACAAAAAGTGGGATCAGATCAGGAGGGTTTAGGCAAATGGTGTATCACTGTGCCATAAAGGAGTTGCTAAGCTTGTGTCTTGTTAAGGCTACTGCTCCCTCATTAATAGAGGGCAGCCAGTAAAGACAGTTAGATGCCAGTCCAGTACAGGAATAGATGTTATTTAGTTCTGACCATGTTGTTTTACTAGCAAAGTTTGCCTTCATGAGAAGCAGCAGGATTTTTCTTCTCTCTGGCTAAGTCCAGGGAAGACTGTCTAATCCAAGGCTAGTGAGGGGTCTGCATGAGTGGCCCTCCTTCATCTCAGGGGGGTCGCAAGATTGTTATAGCCAGTACAGTCTCCCAGGATAGGCTATTTTTGCTGACTGTGCTTGCACACCTAGAATTTGCGGGGTGTGCCAATTGAACCATAGCACACTTTGCCTGGATGCAGAGGGACTGCACGGCTCTTGTAGTCAATGCTGTGTGCAGTCAGCTTGCACTTCCCTGTACATGCCCTTGCTTTATATGTGTGTCACTTTAGTAATACCAGTACTAAAAAACCTGCAGACAGAAACCAGCAGACATCGGGCAACCCTGTGTGCAGGCAGCAGTAAACAAAATGTCTCGTGGGCCATGGATTGGCTGCCACCAGAGTAATCAATTATTTTTAATAGTACATTCCAGCCAGCAATTAGCACCAGGCAGAGCTCAAAAAGTGAGGAAAGATGCAGTTGGTGGCTGCTACTTCTCAATCCAAATTAAGAGTTCACATCCTTCAGTGTCTGACCTGTCAAGTACTGCATGACTGTGATGCTCTCAAAAGCAAAACACTTACAGCCTGTCAGAACAACAGAGATTCAGCATGCGTGGGGCCCACACAAAAAGGATGCAATGCACACTTCGGTGCAGCACTGTAATATAGGACAAGAACGGGTTTCCAGCTAACGTTATTTTGTATCACTGAAAAACTTTCAGACAAGTCACACATTCCATTGACTTTTCTGTAGTACATAGCCTCCATATGAGGAAATAATGAGTGGATATAACTCATTTATTAATGATGTGCAGTTTGAAACACTGCCTTCTTCCCTCCCATCCTCGATAATACAAAAGCTGGATTATTTTCAGTACACCCCATATTTATGCTTTAAAGTCAATATTGCAAACTTTTAATTCCTAGCATAGGCCTCAGCCTTGAAGAAAGCTCTGTGTTGTCAGACCTCTGCTTGGACAGTGCTCATTGCAGATTTGGGGCCGTGGTGCTTACGACCATGAATAATTTCATTGATTTCCTCACACTTGAGGAGAATTTTCAAGATCACACACTTATTCTGGAAGGTCAAAATCTTTTCCACTAACTCACCACTGCTCAGTTGTTACCACTCTTCCTCCATGCCAAATGCACCTGTAAAGTGCCACTGTCTAAGAAGCCTTTGAGTTGTTCATATCAGTTCAGTAGTATAGATGGGCTGTACTACTCTGGGAATATTATTTATAATTCTCCCAGAACAAATAGATAACTGGTTATACCATTAAATGTATTGAAAGTATCACTTCACTCCTAAGAGATAAAACTGTGTCTAAGGGTTAATTTTAGAAGTGTAAAGCATGTTGTCATTTATATACTGGCTTTTTTTACAGCACTAAATATGGAACTATGTCTTTTGCATGACTGTCTCGCTGCCAAAAATAAATCTTTTCTGATCTTTCTAGTTTTTCTAGAAACTCTTGCATTAGAAATAATAAGGTAAGAGAAAAACAAGCAAAACTGGGACACAGTTAAGGATGTATAACTGAATTACAGGTTCAGATCTCCTGTATATATTAGAAAGAAACTTGCTTTAAAAAGAGAGTTCAATCATTTTGTCGTGGATCATTTTGCAGGGATCTGGTTGCAAATTCCCCCAGACACTAGGAGAAGGAGTAAAGGCTGCTGCCCATCAGATATTCCTTTTTGAGCTGAAAATCCACACATGTGATGGGTTTGCTATGTTCATTATCTTAATAATCAGTGAGGGAATCTACTGAACAGTCCATATATAACTTTAGCTTCAGCCTTTTCTCCTATGTGTAATCTTGCTTGGGAAGGGGAGAAAGCGATTTGGGGGGAGGGGCAGTGATGACATTTGGAACTATGTTCATTGCCATAGACTCTGGGAGAGGAGAGTGGACCCCAGAACTAGCAAAGAAGCATAAGGCCTCTGTGGAGATTACTTTGACCTCCAGACAATCTGTAGTGTGGGGGGAGGGCAGATCTGGACACCAAAACCTCTACACTGCCAATTCCAGTGAGAAACAAATGCTTCCTCCTGCCACAATATTCAGGAAATCACAAGAGACACTTCATGAAGTTTTCCTCCCTTTGATCATTCCTGTAAGGTTTTCTGTAGGAAGGGATGAGCTGGCTTTTTCTTATTAGTATAACTATAACAGTGATAGCTGTGCACTGGTGTTTTTAGAGGCACAGTCTATTGAAAAGTACTTTGTGGTAATGTTAGATATTGTTATAATAATTTAATTATGGAAATTGTTCAACAGATTTTGTTTTCTGGACACTTATCTATTCAGAGACATAATGCAAAAGCAAAATCTCTATCCCTGGATTCTTAGCTTTTTCTGAGATGTTTTACTAATGTGCTTATATTTATAAGCACAAATATACAGATTAATGTTAAATATTGTATTGGATTTCTGTGGCCCTGATCTGCTAAGACTATGTGTATGTCACTGAACCTGTAAAAACATATATTTATGGGATTGGATTCCCGTCTACTCTGTTTAAGTTATCATACTCTTTTATTTTTGTATTTTTAAATGGATTCATACTCTCTTGTACATTTCTTTTGGATACAAAAATTATAAAGATAAGTTACATTGCAAAATTAATACAAAAATTCTACACTTTCTGAATCGCAGCCCATACAAGAGACATGGATTCATATTGAATAAGAAGATTACTTAGATAACCCATGACTTCACAGTACACGTTATGGATAAAATTCAAACTCTTCCATGTTTTAGATTCAGTAATTTGGTTAGTGTCCTACTTCTACTGAACTTCTAGACAAAGTTTCTACTGACTTCTGTCTTGTTTCTAGTAAGCTTTTACTTATCACAAAGCAATTAACTTCTGCTCCCGCTACTGTCTGTTACTGGGGATGAACGAACTCATACATTGTCTAGAATGCAAACTATATCATATTTAGATTGTATCCTGGCTAGTCAGAGATGGGGAAGCATTGTGGAGTACATTGATCGATTTTCCCCCCTTTCACCCCTGCACTGATTGAGTTTGCAACCCTACCTTGCTCATGGTATATTCAAATCTTTTATCATTCTAATTCTTGCTGCTGAGATATTGCTGCATTTCCTGACCCAGATAATAGCACAAATTAGGGCACCGTCCTGCGAGTCAGGCTTGACATAATTCCTAGCATGTAGATCACTTAAAGCGACTTATCCGCTCAGCACTGAAATCAATAAGAAACTTTGG